GGGTCAGTGCAACCGTCAAAGGTGTGCCATTTGATAATTGCCAGCTTGGAAAAATTAAACTAATATCAATGTGGACTGCATATCACAACTCAGCAAATAGAAGAAGATTTCATTTTAACCCTTTGACGCCCAAGGAGCTATATACGGCTGCTTAATGGTCGTGCTCTTTGTACCACTTGTGACGTTATCAATATTTAAATGTCATCAGATATTCTTGATAAGCAGATATTAGAGCTAGGATAGATCTATCCGCACAACGGTCGTTTTTGGATAACGACGGCATTCTGACTTCGCAAATTGAAAAACAACGTTATCAGTTTTGGTGCAAAAAATGGTGGGAAGATGACCCATTATACCCATAATTGATCAAAGTCCCATTTCCAGGCTTTGCCCATAATTAACACCCAACTTTTTATGGCAGCCAGAAAGAATATGAAACACAAAAGGGCCGAGAAAAACGAGAGGAAAAGGGCAATAACTGAAAATTTCGGAAAGGGCAATCGCAAAAAAAACAAACAAACAACAAGAAAAAAAGGAGTCCAAATTTTGGCTTATGCGCATGCACCAAATTAAAGAAGAATATAAAAGCAAAAACCGACGCAACGTGGGATGATTTTTTGAAGATGTACTATATTTCGGCTGGCCAAACCAGCCTTCTTCAGGCACAATGAGAATTTTACATTGGCCCGTGTTTTTATGTAGCATATTTTCGTAGTCCGGAAATACGTAAAACTAACTGACAGTGTAAATTAAAGATAAGCACATGTACTGTGGCCCGTAAGTAAGGGCCATCTGGATTTGAGTACATTCTTTTAACATAGCCAAAATATTACTGTCGACTTAGTTTGGTCTCAGTAACACGAGATCTCGACTTATAGCACGAGATCTCGAGTCATAACACGAGATCTCGACTTATAACACGAGATCTCGACTTATAACACGAGATCTCGACTTATAACACGAGATCTCGACTTATGAAACGAGATCTCGACTTTTAACACGAGATCTCGACTTATAACGCAAGATCTCGACTTAGTAACACGAGATCTCGACTTATAATGTGAGATCTCGCGTTAACAACGCGAGATCTCGACTTATAATGGCGTAATAAAAGGATGTTCAAACCATCGGGATCAATTGCTCTGCCTTACGGATAGAGTCTCGGTTGGAAAAAATTTTTCGATGGGGATTAATTGCATGTCGTTAGCAGTGTGGTTAGGAGAGGACAGGAAATGGTCCGCGGCTGTAGTAGGTTTAGATATGTTGTTAGGTCGGGGTCGTCTTTTGATCGTCGTTTCGTCTCTCCTATGTATTGTAAATTACAGCGGTTACATTGAATCATGTTTTTAGTGTCACAGGTCAGGTTAGATTTTACGGGGCGCGTTTCCCCAGTAGAAAAGAAGGTATATGTAGTAAATCCTTGAGAAAAGTAGGCAAGTAGCACAGTTTTTGCCACAACGGAAAGAACCAGAAAGAAGTTGAGGATTGATAGGATTAGGAGAGAGTTTAGCTGTAACTAGTAAATCACGAAGGTTAGGGGAGCGTCTGAAGGCTACAATATGCAAATGCTGATAAACGGTTTTGCAGCGGTTAGAAGGGAGCAACAAATTGTAATGTTTTTCGATGATGTTAGAGATGTGAGGAAGTGATGGGTTGAAGGTAGTTATAAATGGTATATGTTTAGGTTTGTTGACGTCTTTGCCGGGTTTGTAAAGTGAGTCTGCGGGGGATTAAAATATCAAAAATATTAAATATTAAAAATTAAATATTCTACATTTTTGTACTTAGTCCTGGGGAAATCTATCTGTTTGGCAAAAAAATAGCTTTTACAGCAAAATTAAGGCCTATTTAGCGTCATGGCAGCCCAAAAACTGATTGATTTAACGGTTAAAAAGGGCATTTTTTTTGGCTACCATTTGGGCGTGAAAGGGTTAAATCGACCAGAAGGTGAAGAGTAGAAGTTTGTATTTATAGAAACAGAGACAGATCTTTTAGGGCCGCCGCCCCACTTTGGTGCCGTATATATATTGCAAATATATTCCATTACTCTCGCTTCCGTTATTTTTAATTAACCCACATTTTATATGACGCGAACGATTTTGTTTATCATTTTTCTGCTGACTAACTCCCTCTTGTCGTCATGTGGCTTGAAGGTAAAGTTATTTAAGCGATTCTAAATTAAAACGGGTTAAAAACAAAAATAGACTTGCGGCAAATCAACTTCATCTTAGGAAAACGGAATTGAAGAAAGTCTTAACAGAACAGCTAGACACCAAAATAAACGAAGAATGGTGGATACAGAAAGATGTGAATCAATAATAGGGAGTTAAGAAAACCACGACGGTAAATGGCCTGACGACAACGTCCTTAAACAAAAGATTTAAAGAGCAGAACAGGCTGCGTACGTGCGTTATAATTCTTGGTACATTTCTTTGCTGTCCTCTGCAAAACAACAACGTGAAATGACCAAATCCCGCGTTGTCTGGAGAACGTGAACCACATACGACGGATATTTTTTGAAATTTATATTTTCGAGCTTGCGTTCCCGCATAACCAGTTTAGTGATCAGTTTGGCAAAGAGAAACAAACTAAATGGCTTAAGGTAAAGAGTATCGCGAGATTCGTAGGTAAAGTATAAAGTCATTTTTTGATCGACTTTGTCTTCGGCGTCGCCGTAGCTTCTTATACTCCCTAATAGCTTTTAATGAATTGAAAGAAAATGCTCCAAGCAAAATCACCTACGATACCTCTTCAGCCCCCATCTCTTCTTGCAGTTCAGCACGAAAACCGCGGCGAGAATGGTATCCGGCCGTAGTTTGAACTGTTCTGCAGCCTCGTTTGCCCGAGAACGACTTAAACATAAACTGCCCTCTAAAATTGCTTAAAAACCGTTCAAAATTTCGTTTCAACGTGTTGAATCGAAGATTGTACTGGACACAGTGCAAAACATGTTCTTTACCGGCCATAGAAAGTGAGTTTCTCTTAGTTTCAACGATTTTGCAAACGCGGAAAACGAAACAATGTTCAGCTTAGAACTTAAAGCTAACAGTGATCAGAGAGGTAAAGCTCTCATATCACTGAGATTGTCGATCCGGTACCGGTGAGGGCACTTTTAAGGGGAGCAGCAGGAGGTGTAGGCGTCAAAACCCCAAAACACTAGCCTGTTGGAAGTGTGGGCGCGTTTTAGCAAACTTCTTAACATTTCTGCAAAGCAGAGGACAACATTTCCCGCCGGAAAATAAAGACAAGACAGTGGTCTAACTCACTGCCCAAAGTCGGAACCACTGCAAGCCACACTGATGGTTGGTTTTCCAACCTGCGGAGGGTTTCGGAGACACCAATCAGATTAAAAAAAACTGAATATTCGAAGCCTTTCCCAGCCGGAAATAATCTAATATCGGCCTGTAACTGAAATATTGCTCATGTTTAGCAGAAGTCGAGCGCAAGGGGGCAAACTAAGCGTAGATATTCCTGTACGAAGAGCCTTTCTCTGTAATTAATTAAGCACCTTCTCAAATCAAGAATGTAGCAATTTCCCGAATTAGCCAGCAAAAACGGTTAATTATAATCTTGACTGTCACACGCCCTAAGTTTAGTATTAGGACACACAGAGTTTATTGAAAACCAGTAAAACGATCACATTCAGCTGTTAAAAGTTAAGTCTAGCAAATAAATTAATCGATTTTAAATAGCTCTGTCATAGCGTTTTTAAGCTGTTTCTTTGTGTTTGATATTTTCAGAGCTGAAAGCTACATTCTTAATAAATTGCGTTTTCCCGTTTGTTGCGGTTTCTTCTGGACACATGTTCGCCCTTGAGCCGGTGTAGGGCGTCGACAAATCACGGCCATTTTAAAAATACTTTCCGCCAAGGTGCAGCGCGGTTTTCGTGCCCGTACAGCCCCGGACAAATATCTATGACAGATTTAGACCACTTCCGCATGTTACTTCAACGCATTAACATTTTTTTTTCTTTGAGGAAAAAGGTAACTATAGAAAACAGTTTTTCGGCTAAGTGCGTTTTACACAGAAGTGTGCGAGTCTCAACTTCAATTTAATATCTCACTCAAAAATGTTTTCTTTCAGAAGCGAAAAGAAAATATTTTCTTTGAGACAACACTGAAGAACTGGGCAAAAATAGATATTTTTTTGTTCTTGATCGTCTACATCTAGAATGTTTTCAGTGTTTCTTGGGTTTGCACATTCATTTCCGCACGAATAATTAACCATTAAGTTAATGAGAACCGAAGAAACCAGAAATATAGTCAGCTTCCTTTTGATTGGCTCTCGAGAAATATTCAAAGTCTTTTCAGCGCGACCTAGTGACCTCAGCATTTTGAGAAATATTCTGAAAATGAAATGGTGCGTGTAAACTGATCACAGATGCCAGAAATCGTCCCTAAAAGTTATTCTAAACACTTTGGCTCCATTTCAGGCGAAAGATTCCAACTTTATCATTATACAAACTCCGAGCGTGGCTCGAAGATCCATCGGTATTTCATAAACTGATCAAAAGGAATGATCGTATTGTTCGCTCTTACGTAAGGGAAAACGTAACGCTCTGTGAATAGCAATTATTGATAATCACCACCGCGCCCTATTTCTCCTTGTGTTTCGAAGCAACGGGGTTCATTAAATGTACTCTTTATTGAGATTTTCACTACGTTTGTGTCAGAAATAGTTGTGACTTGTCTTATGTTTGATAGTTTTTTCTGCCGAATATGTCCAATGTTTTTGCTCGACTACGGTGTAATAATAGGGCATTTCGCAAGCTATGTTATGATAATTTTTAGATTTCGCTAAACCGGAAACATTTGACAGGCGAGAGACTTATAGCCCCTCCTTTTCTTTCAAGTCCTAATGGGTTGCTATGGGAATCATGACGAAAGCGCGCTACACTTGGCGTGCGGGCTTCTAATTGGTCCGCTGTCGCATACCAACACTCAACGTTGATAATAGCTGTCAATCATTTTCGCGCTAATAACAATGTGTTCATTTCACCGCGTCTATTGGTTATGAAGTAGAGTTGAGAAGAACAACAATTGAATGGTCTTAAGATTCCCGCTTACCTAGACGATACTTTAAACTGAATTTGAAATGCCTTCACTACTCGTCGTGGACAGTCCAAGAAGTTATCGTAGAATTCAAGTGGAAAAGAAGAAATTGATGGCTAAGGGGGCCACTATTTCATGGCTCTCGGACCAGTTAAGCAAGGGGGCATTTATGCTTCTCCTTGACTGCCGGCCGTACTCAGAGTTCGCCCGTTGTCATGTACAAGGAGCGATCAATTTGACGATTCCGTCGCTAATGTTACGGCGGCTAAAGAAAGGCACCAACTTCGCCATTAGTTCGTTAATCACGTCTGAAGAAAGCAAAGTACAGTTTAATAGGAATCTTCACCTCGCCTCGGGTATAGTTCTGTACGATTCGGAAACAAGCGATGTGTCAAACGTCTGTTCGAGCAGTGCCTTAGGAGTCCTGTTGAAGAAGTTCTCTGAGGATGTTAACATTCCCGTCTGGTTGCTCGAAGGTAAGGGCCAAATATATTTTTTTAGTTAAACAAACTCATCTCTATTCATTTAATCACTTTACGTGCTTACAAAATTTCGCCAATCCACTTGCTCATTTGCTGATTTTAAAGGGAGTTCGTCTGTCGCGCGAAGATCCATTAGAATTTTGTTTGTTTTTTGAAGTTTTAATTTAATATTCCTTCCTCACTAATTACTTTGATTTTTTCAATGTGTTCCAGGTGGCTTTGCTAAGTTCGAGAAGAAGTATCCAAGTTTTTGTGAAACGGGCGAAGAAGTCGAGAGGCCTCTGCTCTCGCTTTCCGGACTTACGATTCAAGACAACATTGAACAAGATCTTGCTTTGAAACTTGAACCAAGCACACCTGAGATTACAGATCATCAAGAAAGTCGCACAAAAGTACCTGTACAGATTCTTCCACACCTATACCTCGGCAGCGAAAAGGACTCATCAGACTTGGACATTTTGAAGAAATACGGAATTTCGTATATTTTGAATGTTACTCACGATAAACCAAACTCCTTCGAACATCTACCTGGTTTTAAATACAAGAAACTGCCAGTGGAGGACAATTGGAGAGCGAATTTGTCTGACATGTTCCCCGAGGCGTTTGAATTTATAGGTATGTTCCACGCTAATATCTTTTTATTATTGCATTAGTTTCATTTGCGGGGTACCCGCGCTAATTTTGATTAAAACTTTAATGGCAATGTTGAATAACTATTAAGTAGTGAGGTATAGATAAATAGATGTTGGCTGCTGAAAAACGCCCCCGTTGGTAACGACGAATCGTCTAAATCATTACTTTCGATTAAAAAACCGCAAATGAACCTTCAAAGTAATAAAAGTGGATAAGGAAGAAACTATGGGAGGAAACTATTTGCCATAACATAGCGCGTAGGAGTGACACGGTTGATAGAACGAGCGTTGGGACGACCTTTCAATTGTTTGTTTAGTGTGGGTTGAATGTAGGGAAAATAATGAAATTCGCGTACTACACTTGACGTAGATATTGCGTGGAATGAAACAAATCAGCGTTTTAATTAACCCTCAGTTACAGTTAACGTCAGTTTTCTTCGCCGCGCTTTCACATGTTGGCGAATTTTAGCAATTGTAACATCTTACTAGAGTTGCGCTCTTGAAAATTTTGCCGCGAAAGCGAGAATTTTTAATTTCTCGTAGTCAACGAGACATTTTATTGTTCTGCACTCTGTTATATTGTTGCTGCGGCTTTTACTTAAGTTTGATACCTGCACCACTAACAATCAAATATTGTTTTCTTTTCTTTCTTCAGAGGAGGGCATTACACAAAACCGTGGAGTTCTGATTCACTGCCTTGCCGGAGTTTCGCGATCCGTCACAGTTACAATCGCCTACCTCATTTCAGCGTTGAACATGACTTTGAATGAAGCTTACGACTTTGTGAAACAAAGAAAACCAAGTGTTAATCCGAACCTGAACTTTATGGGACAATTACTAGAGTTTGAAAGGCAATTGCGAACGCCACAAACCCCAAGCTCTACCACAAGCACCTTATCGAGTGATTCTAGTTTGGACAGCGAAGAAGACGTGGTTGACTTAAACATCGTCGCTCCACGTTGTCAGACAGTTTAAACCTCTCGTACAGTATCACAGACCTTAAAGTTATTTCTCTAGCGACAAAGAACTTCTAGCGATGTGTCGAAAAACTTGTGTTTGCAACAAATATAACGGCAGAGTTAAAGATTATTTAGTTTCAGAGAGAAGTACGCGTACTTTAAATACAGAGCAAACTATAATGTAATTAATATTATGAATGGCGCATTAGACCAGATGTGCTGTTTTGAATATTTTGAGGTAATTTTGCATTACATGCAATTAAACTGTAAACACTCTTTGAGTGTACTTCTACTCCAACGAGCTTTCATATAGATTTCTAGCCAATTTCTTGCTAACACCCAGACATTTCTAATTTGTCCTAAAACATTTCAATCTATTCTCATATTCGCAGCCAAAGATTTCTCGTGCAATTTTGTGATATGCTTAATTCTCTTTCTTCATAACAATTACGTGTATCAACAAAAGACTTCATTCCTCTAATTGTAAATCATTGTATAGCCAATGTTTATGATCAAACTACGATCGACCTCGACAAATAGGAGTTATCTGCAATTCGAATTCTTAATTTATGTTCGCGAAGATTTGTAAATACAGTACGCGAAAATGTTGAAACGATATTTCGCGCAGCGCCTGCAAATTCCACAAAGTCAGATGTATATAGTAGTACTTTATTATTAGATATACAGATTGTAAATATATTACGAAATATCTACTTTAATAAATCTAGCAAGTTCCGAAATTGGAAGAGAAACGTGGTTGAAACTAGTCACAACAAATGGGAGTTGGGACTGTTGGAATTCATAGGAAGGAAACACATGTTGTGTTGTGATTAACTTGTGGTGGAAATCACGAAATTTTGCCCCGGGGCTGTTTTTGCGGTTGTTAGGATATCGACAACTGTCAAACAATTACAGCAATCCACCCTTTGTGATTTATTGTTTCGTTAGATACTCGATCGTGTTCAAATCCAGCCGTGTTTCTTGGCAGTTTATTAGACTGACAACGAAGAGAACCTTTCGAGAAGATTGCCAGTCTTTCTGGGAGGTATCTTGATACTTGGAAGAGCTAGTGAAATTCAAGAACGACTCGACACGCACTTCCGGAGTACTGTTACTTGAATGTTGATTCGAAGTTTGTTGGCTTGTGAACGAATGAAACCTCTCCTTAGAATGCGAAAAAAAGTAATTAGGATAAAGTGAACGACCTTAAACGCTTCAACGAAGGTTTTGAAGTTGACCACTGGAAGTATAGACACTGTGAAACGGATAAACTGTGTTCAGTTTTCAATTCAAGCAAAAACCTTTTTATTACTGAGCATTGCTTGGGGCATCGTTGTTAATCCCACTTTTTAAAAGATCAGTGGAAGCAAGAAGCTTGAATGGGAAAGTCGTTGAGTAAACAGAAAGGCAGAATTTAAATAAGCGAGATCCGGCCTGCCGTTGCGGTATTTTGCCTCACGCGCTCGGGCCGGGAAGTCAACAGCACGGTTTCCGGAGTTATAGACTTGCTGGCGCCATCAGTATTTTCCGGCTATTTTTGTTATTGCGGCTACGCATGCGTGAAACCGCGAGGCAAGGCAGAGCGATAATGTGTGGATCGGGCTTAATTAAGCGAGATATCGAGATAGCGTTGGTCATTTATGTGGTGTCCGATTGATCCACTTTGAAATATTGCTCATTTAATCGACAAGGTTATAATCCTACAAGGTTATCTCTGTGTTTTTGAAAAGATCACCAGACAACTGTGGCAGGACACCGGCGGAAATGACCTTCTCAACGCTCCAACGAGAAAGTTTATTTTCAAACCTCTCTCGCATTTGATGTAATACAGAACGGATGTCGACTGGGCAAACTTTGTAGATCGCTTTAATAATTAATAATTCATTCTCAGCGCGCGATCATTTTTCAAGCAAGACCCACACGGTCGCGCGAAGATCAAACTCCGTTTTATGAAATTTGCGACGAAGCTAAACTGTGCTCCCACCCACCGGAAAACAAAGACCGGTAATCTTCAGTCATAAGACCTTGACGAAGCAGTTTCTGCGTTCCTTGCATAGAGCTGAGAGAGATGGATACGTCGATAGGCGTGGGTGTCTGGGTTTCCGGGGGTCGCAGTTTGTGTGTTTTCAAACTAGGAGAGAGGGGAGGTGAGCAAGCAGGGAACGCGAATAAGACTTATAGAAGCTATCCTTTTATGTAAAGTAACGAGTAGACTTTAAATCTCCAAGTTAAAGTAATTTTAAGTGTCTGTGTTTCTGTATTTTCAGCTGTGAGATATAACGGAAAAATAGCCAAAGCCGTTTAACCGGAAAAATTCGGCTTTTTGTAGAGTGTTCCTCTCTGCCTTCCATTGACTTCCGTTAGATTGAGATTGTGGTGTAGTGGATTCGAAGATGGAAAATGTGACTTAAATACACAAAAGAATGATAAACTGTGAGTGCTAGCCTTCGCAGAAAACGTTGGTCGCCTTGGCTACAACGTAGCCTCATCTAGACTTAGGCGCTGGCCGGGACAGAAGACTGATTCTCGTGACCAAATTGCTTATCAGTTACCTCCCCCATTCCCTTGCCCACTCCCTACCGCCCGCGCAAGAAAGCCCGTTCCGCGTATTTAGCATCGCGTTGATGGGAGTGAATAGTATCACTGTCAGTTATGTCGTTGGCTCTACGGCGTCAGTCCTGTGTTTAGAATGACAACGCCAGAGTGTGTCGCAACAACTCGTGATAAGAAAATTTTCCGCTCTTCGCCGAAGCAGTAATTATCCCGACATAACTGGACTTTGTATCTCGCCAAAACGCAAACAGCTAAAGGTGATGAGGCTGTAAATATTTGAAATTCACGTAGGAAATAGTGATACATACTTCATCCCCGGATTTCATCTTCCCAACAGGAGATTACAATTTTGATTTAAGGGGTCAAAAAACAAAACAAGAAAAAAACAAAAAAAAAAGCAGGGACGAAGCGAAAGTGCTTAACTAAGCAGATTTAATAAGCGCAATCGAGCGCACAGAACTAGTTGGGTCAACTTTTCAGTCCTTCCATGAAGTTTTCTGATAACTTTGTTCACCCAACAATAGCAGACATAGCATACATAGCTTTTGTGTAGCCTAATGTAAGCGATCTTTTCATTTGTAGTTTTGAGTGAAATCAGCAGTCCATCGGCAGTTGTGATTTCATTTCACGCCTCACTGAGGTAAACAAATCCGATCCTACACAAACAAATCTTATCTTTGAACAAACGATCTTTATTTGAACGCTTCAGTGATTACTTGAATTAATGACATTAAAGGTTAGATAATATGACCTAAGCAGTCTAATCAGCAGTATTTTTTCAACTAGCAAATTCATTTGTTTCCGATCTCGTTTATGTTTTCAAGCATTTTGTGACTTTTTAAACTAATTAATCATATACTCTGTCCAAGATCAATTGCATTTGTCACTGTAGAAGGCAAAATTCCTTACGTGCTGAACCCTATAAGATCATTACAAAACCTTATCTTTTAATTTTAGAGGAACGTCAGTCAAGTCTATTTTTAGCAGAATGATTCGAGACATCCAATGGCGGATTTATGAGTTAATTAATTTTCTCGATGCGTCGTGCTACACACAGAAAGCGTTGAAAATGACTTAAATGTCGATTAAATGAAGGGCTATCTTACATTCGATGTCAAAAAAAATCACGAATCATTTTCCCTTTTAAAAAGTGAACGAGGTTGCCAAGGCAACGGTTTGTCAGAGGTCTGGCTTCGGACTTAGTCCTCTCTGCACATTCTATTCATGCGCCGCTGAGACACGTTGCTTAGCAACCCCTCAGACAAAATCACGCCGCCATCTTGTTTAAGAACTTTGGCGTGGTTACAAAACCCAGTACTTGTACACGACAAGAAATTTCATGGGAATTTTTATTTTTATTCGAGATTGTTACCAAAACAATTGCTGAGATGTTTTTCATCGTAGTTTCTGTTCAGAAGTTTTTTTAGAATAACACCCTTAACATATACTATATTTCACACATATTATATAGACGTGGCTCAATATCAATTAATTTTTTTTACCCTTCGTAAGAAGTGACCCGAGCTTTACACTGCGGCTCAATCTCAACGCACTTGGCAAAATCGACAAAAATGATGTTGATATGCGATACTGGTTGAACAAGAGGCACGTACGTTGTACGAAAAAAGTTCAACTGTCTTGTCAATAAGCTAGTTTCGATATATCAAAATTCTAATTTGCTTCCGAGGCTGAGGGTAAAAAAAAAACACTAAAACGAATCACATCGAGGTTCAGGGATGGATAATTGATTTCTTTTTATTCCCACTAAGCCTCGAAGCCAATTTAGAATTTTAATACAATATATGGAAATTAAGAATTAAAAGTCAGCGAAAATGAATGACGTTTCGATGATTCGTTCATCATTTTCAAATTCTTAAAACTAAAAGTCAGATTCCTATGACTTCTTTATATCTTCCTTATATACTAAGAATGCGTGCGGAAAGCCTCGCTGCATGTAATTAAAAACTCTACAATGTGGAATGTAGAGAGCGTTGATATAAGTACTAAATAGTTTTGCTTTGATTGAGTGAGATTGGGTGTTCAGTTAAGGTTTCTTTCAAGAATTTAAAAATGATGAACGAGTCACCTAAACGTCACTCAAAATTATTATTGCTAATTTCTATTCTTATTTTTTTATCCAAAGCCTCTGTTATTAGTATATGGAAATTAGCCTGTTCAGTTTTTAACAGTCAGTTCCTGTTTACTTGCGGCTTTATTTGAAGAAGTTCCTTAGCTTAAAACTGTGAAAATAAATATTCTAAAAGTTATCAAAACTGCCTGAGATTCTCAACCTTAATACACTATCCGTTTCTGTTTATTTTACCAAACAAGTTGAATGAACGGGTAAACGATGAAACGCTGTTGTTTTGAATGACAAAGTTTGAGTTAGGGGCGGCTAAATGATTGCACGTATTTATGCAACACAAAAATATTTGATCGTTTAGCCGCTTAAGCCGTCATGCCGTGTGGTCATAACTCGGAGAGTTACTCCACTCCACTACCCCCGTTATTTGATATGGACAACAAACTTGTGTTGAACCTGAAAAACAGGTAATTTTATGAAAACACAAAATCTTAAATATACGGTTTTGAGGATGAGGCGGTTAAAAGTAACCACATTTTTGACCTCTGGTAATATTTTCACCTATCGTGAGCTGCTAAAGTTTACAGGAAAAAATAAGGTCTTGTGATTTTCGTGACTTCAGGTCCCGTGGTTTTATTACCGGAAGCTTTCCAATATAAATCTGGCGCGATTCAGGCTTGCAGTGTTTGAAGGAAGTAACATTTTGGCTGAATTTAATCGCTGATCGTGATTAGATAAGTGTCATGATGTTAGTTTCCTCGACATGTCATAAAATATTCGGCGCCATCTTGTGTTCTCTGCCTGAGGTCGTCAGATGTCGTAATGCTCTTATTTTTTTTCATGGTATATATAGAGTTGTTAAAGATTGAAACCTTTGAACTTTGATATTGCGAATAGCTTCTGCCTACTTGATACCAATTTCCTTTCCAGGTGTCTCGATTTAATAGTGAATGAAATAAGGTAAGGCAAGCTCCGTGATTGAAAAGCAACGGCAGTAAGCAAGAAGACCCAGCAAAGCCGCTATTTAATTTAGTGTCCCAAAGATTATAGTCAGCTTCTGCATCATAAACTTAAAGTTACCAGCGAACAGGCTAAGCAAACTAGAATGAATTCTGT